TTAAAATATCATAGCCTTAAAACCTAATTATACAAAGAAACTAGCTGTTCTCTGCCATGCTTCGCTGTGGCACATTGTGATTGAATGGTTGAGAAATGAGAAATAAAACAAAGAAAACATTTCATATAAGTTTAATTTTGAAATACTTGTGGAAAAAGAAAATGAAAAAAAAAAGATTATAAAAAATAGATAAAAACAATCCTTAATACGGATTATATATCATGCTAAAATTTCAGCTCGATCGGTGCAGAACTATTTGAGTTTTTTAAGCGTACACAAACCAAGATAAAATTTATATATATATATGTATAGATGTAAGCTTATCTACATTTAACTCAAGGCCTTGGTAAAGTTTGTGTTGTGGCCACTTCTCCGTCTGTGTGTGACTATAGCCTATGTAAAATAATTTATATTTTGGTGGGAAAAGGACGTTTTGCCTAAAGGTCATATGTTATAACCGCATTTTGAAGATTACATACATTTTAACATATATATAATTTGACATGGATTGTCATTGAAACAATCTATAGGTTTGAATATACGAGACCAAAGGCTTCAGAACTACTCGGCCCATACTAAGTATAATATGTATTTAGTCGAAAGAATAAAAAAAAAATTAATTCGTCACGTATTCAATGAAATGCATGTAGAACAAATTTTAACACGTCTCATTTATTCACACTAGACATCCACAAATTATACTGTCAAACAATTAACACCAAAGAGAATTAATTAATTAAAACAAAAACAAACCATTGTCTGTGACCATTGTGACTGGCTATTAATAAAAAAACAAAATGTCGGCCCACGGTAGCAGATGGCGGTAATTTGCATTTAAACTGCCCTTTGGATTTCTGTTATCCGTATTGATAAAAAAGTTGATAAATAAGTTGAAACCTATATTGATAAACATTAAGTTACAATTCTGAAACGTACAGATATAATTCGTGTATATTACTTCAAAGTTTATTTTTATTAAATAGTCCCAACTTTTATTAAATAAAAGATCGGTAACTCGTAAGTAATTTTTAAAATTACAGAGACGATTAAGATTAAAATAGGCAGGAATAGCTTCTTCTTATCAGAATAGTACTATTTTAATTATACCTATCGGTATAATACTACTGTTATACTATTTATAGTAATATATATATATAGAGGATTTTGAATAGTACTATTCAAAATTAACTGTAGTTATGAGATATATTGTAATTAACGCAATTTCTTTGTAGTCGGGCATGACTTTGAACTTTCAAAAACTATCCTATTCTAATTATAATTTTAATGTAACTTGTCCAAAAACAGTTTTTAGAAAAATTCAGAAGAAATACATAATTATAAAAATCGAACTTCGTTAATTAGTTTACTCCGTATATCTATCAAATCTATTGATTAACGTAAACGCCTTTAAATTTAAGTTTATTTTTCATGTATTTTTCCTACCTAAGATTTAATTTTTATCTAGATGTTAGCACTAAATACTCATGCAACAACACAAACGAAACAAGAAAATATTTCGTGTCAAAAACTTCACTATCTGGAAAATCGCTTTCAACGCAAAAAGCCCAGCTTGCTTTAAACTTTGCGCCTGACATTAAATCAACGCAAAATTCGTTGCCAATTGGCATTTTTTAAACTAGATGCCCCCGATAACTTAACTACAGATTATTACTAGTTTTTTTTCTCCATAAAAACTCAGACTTCAAGGAATAAATTAAAAAAAATTACTCGTCTTGGTTCAGCCGTCTTCTAGTTTTGCGCTGAGCAACATATTTTGTGATTAATTTTAATTTAAATATAGAGTTCGTATACTCTACGATACTATTCTAAATTATTCCATTACTAAGCCTTTATTTTATACTTTCTTATAAAAGCCTCAAATAACAATTAAATGTGTTGTCCTTATCACATTGCAAATATAGATTATTACATTTATAGATTTTTTTAGTTTCTGTTTATTTTGCTCACTGGAATTTTAGAACTAGACTATAATTAAGTAAAAATTTACTTAAAATTATTAAACACAATCGCTTAGCTTAGTATATTAAGCAACCACCTGACGTCCTCGGTTTGAATTGTAAGGAATTCAAAAATACGTAAAATTATTATCTATATACTAATTTTGTAGTCTGTGCTACTCCCTTTTGTATTACGGGTCACTTTTTTGCTGTCATATCTAACAATTTGTCGAACACAAATAATCCGATAAAAAAAGGTTCCAAAACATTAACGGTGTTTTTGTGTATTTTCTTACTTACAAAACAATACTTATTTATACCAAAATCAAAATATCATTTATTCACATTGTAGGTACACTTATGAAAGTTCAGTTCAGTGACAGTTTGTCACCATTTTAAATCACCAAGTTTTTTTATAAAATGTTTGTACGCACCTGCAACCATTACATCATGCTCCTCATCACACGTAATAATAATAATAAAGCCTTTTATTTCAGATGCTTTTACATTTAAACACATTAATATTTATTAGGTCTGTGCGCCCTTCTTTGGCAAAGGCTTCCTCTAAATCCCCCCATTCCTGTCTGCACTGTGCCACTCTCTGCCATATGCCTCATGTAGACATGGTTAATTTATTGTTATAAAATAAAAAATAACGAATAAATAAGAAAACGTTTCACCTCTATCAAGGCACGATGTAATAGAACCTTTACTGTTGTAAAGTGCTGAATTAAAGTCCGACCAGTGACCACATGTAGCACCCGTCCACGAGTACCACGCATGGACAGCTATCGGACCCTTGCAATATTGTAGGTAGACAACCCGACGGCATCGGGGACCCATGGACATCGTGAGGAAACTTGCATAGACCCAATAAACTATGTATGTCTGTTACAGAATTCTTAGATTGTATGAGAAATGAGACTGGCTGTTTGTATCGCTTCCTTATAAAGGTTATATTTTAGGTCTGGGCCTCAGATTTATGTATCTGTTTCATGATCATTTGTCAATCTTATAGGCAAATAGGTGATCAGTCTCCTGTGCCTGACACACGCCGTCGACTGTTTGTGTCTAAGGCAAGCTGATTTCCTAACGATGTTTTCCTTCAACGTTCGAACTAATGTTAAATACGTACATAGAAAGAAAGTCCATTGGTGCACAGCCGGGGATCGAACCTACGACCTCAGCGAGTCGCACGCTGAAGCTACTAGGCCAACACTGCTCTAGATTATACTAAATTAATTATAAATCAAAAACAACGATATTACACCTTTCTAGCGCCAATTTTTGTATATAAAAATTTCAACTGCGCAAAACGCTTAGCAATTTCAGCATAAATGTAATGACGGACTGGCTTCCAGAATTTACCTTTGACTATGTGGAACATCTACTAGATTACATATCTCTGCCTTTTAATAAATTTATTGAAGAATAGCTGTGTAAAAAGGCTTACTATAAAGTTAACTATCTAGATATATTATCTAGATATATTATCTAGTTGATAAAAGAGAATGGGACTAGTGCTAGACAGGCTACTTCTAATTAATTTGCGATATTTGTTTGAAAATAAGTGTTGTTTGCCAAAGTCATTTTGTATGATGATTTGCTATTTTAAAAGAGTACCCTCTGTCTTCTTTGCAGATGAGTAGGGATTAATAATTTAATGACGTGGAATAAGTGATACCTGTATCTTATATTCCATAATAAACATATTTTTTTTATATAAAATGTATCATAAATTGATTTAATTGGGTTCATTTTTTTTAAAATAGTTGTTATGATTTTTTCCTCTGCGGGTATTTGAAATCTGAGGCTATGAGCGAATCTGTTCTGTGGTCTTGCGGGTCTTCTAGCTCCAAGAAATAATTTTAATTAACTATCGATAATGCTACACAAACTGGGAAATACATCAGGAGTCTGGGATACGTGTTTGTTCTGTAACCGTTTATAGCAATAAATAAAATACATTATTATTAATTGTGTCAGTAATTTTGTAATAATTATTAAGTTTCTTTTTCGTCCGACGAGAAAGTAGCTTTGATGCACCACTAAAAATACGAGGGAAGGTGGGACGCACCACCAACTAGTCATAGAGCTGGATCAATCACTTCCGGTTTAACGTATAAGTTCCGCATCCGCGTAATAGATGCCTTTTGCATTACTACTTAATACTTTAAAAAGAAATTTGTAAACCTAAATTTGTAAATTTGTTATTAGATTTGTATTATTTAAGTAAATTTTTTAATTAATTAATGAAAAAAGACATTGATATAAAATAATTAACTTAGTCAAAGTTTTCGTCAAGAATTTGTTTTCAATATAATAATGTCTACAGAGTGATTTAACCGACTACAAAAAAGTAGGTCATCAGTATGACCTACATGGAGTTGCATAAAATTTGTATTTTACATAGAATAAATCTATATGTATTCTAAATATTATTGACAGGTATTTGAAGTCGGTGAATTTTTTTTAAATTACTTATTATATGTACCAATATAAATAAAGCAGTCACCCGCCGTTTGTACGACCTTTTAATCTTGGAATATATATATAGGTAAGTAAGTTTTCTTTGAACCCTTGGATACTTAATTATAACTTTAAACTTCAAGAAACCACTTTCTTATATTAAGATTATGTCAATTAAATAAACGAGTATTTTACCTTCACCATGTTCAGTTAATATAACATACAATCTCGTGAAGTCTAAAAGAGCTAAGATTTGAAAGTTCAGTCTATTAAAAACACACATAACCAAAAAAAACTAAGTCCCTATTATTGTGGCTGTACCATACATACAATACATTAACCGCAATAATTAATTCATCATACACTGCGTACAAACCACGCTAGTTATATGCCACTTATAAACGCAACAAGTAATGTATGTCTATATTTTTTAAGTATCGTTTAGTGTTGCCGCAGTAGCCGTTAGTGAGAGTACCCTATCACTAGAAAGGAATACATTTCACCAACTATAAATGTTCGCGGGGAGAGTAAACAGCATCAGTCATTACTGTGAATTCAACCAAGTGCATCAACATGATCGCTTACGTAAGTCGAGTAATTTTTTATCTGTGTTATATCACTTCCGAATTCCGACATACTTACGACATAATTAGAACGCTTTTAGTCAAAGAACCATTAAAAACGTCTTATTTAATATTATGTAGTTTTAAATTGTGTAATAAATAAATAACAGTATCATTGTATATAAAACCTTTTCTATTTCACAAAAGAGGTAATGAAACAAAAAAGGTTTAATGACATCATAAAATGACACTGGTCAAAATTAAAAAGTCAAAACACGGCCTAATAATGAATTCTAATTTGGAATTCATGACTAATGAGGTGGAATAAATTATAAAAATATAATGTTGCCAATAAAAATTCTACGACTAATTTACATTTTTAATTAGCGTTTTAATTGTGCTCTATGATATTACCGTAACAAAGATTTTTATGCATTTTAGAAGAATGTTCGATAGAGTTCCATCTACCATACAGTTTTAATTTTCTTAGTAAACTAGCGGACCCGACAGACGTTGTCCTTTCTTAACTATGAATATTGATTTCGAATTGGTATAATTAACTAAACAAATATTTCAGAAACAAAGTGTTTATTATTCCGACACGGGAACAAAATAATGTATTTTATCAATATAATCACTCCGATCGAAGCATTTGTTTTAAACGATACTCGTATTCATTTTTCTTACATTCTCTTTGACGATATTTGCTGCACGCATTCTGTCAATGTTATGTCAAACGCCATAAATTACATCAAAAAAGTTTAAATTGTATGGTGGCCGTGGCCGTGACCAAGGGAAATGGGGATTCATTTTTATTTATATATAGATTGATCCCAATGTTCACGATTCTTAAAACAGTCCCATAACTAGGACAGATATTGCCTTTTTACTGATAAATTTTCTGTATGTAATATACATTTACAGCTTTACGTAAAATTCACGAGTATATATAATTATTATAAAAATCTTGTCTTGCCGTGAGGCTGGGTTCGATTCTAGGTAAAATATTAATTGAATCGCTTAGCATGCATGAGGCTGATCACATGCCAACGTGATAAAAGAGTACCCAGAGTTCTGCAATTTTATGTAATTTAATCTAAAATTAAAATTCTGTAATGTGAGTGAAAGGATTCCTTTTAATCATCACTTCCGTACTGAGTATTCGTGATGTAATCTCAGGCATTTCCTCTTATTTATCTTAATGCTTCTTGTCGGAAAGTTTGAAATATTTGTTCGGGAAGTGTGTTTTATGAATGTCCGAAGCTTATCATGACATCCTTGTGAAGACTGTTTACTTTTCGAGTAACGTCTGCTTACGTCAAATCTTTTGTCGAAATGGAGCCCCTTTAAGCCGCTTCCTGCACCGTCCACACCAAAAAGGCCGGAACGCACCCACTAATGGTCTATGGGCTGCGATGAGTGTCCTTTTTAGGCGTCTCGTATGCAAAAAGTGGACCTTTAAGCCAGTTGTACCAAACGAATCCCTATATAGAATGAATTTATCAAAAATCGTAAAAGAAATCAATTCGAATCTATCATCTAGTTGCTTTCCCTTAATCCCTATTGGTTAATCCCTATTATTAATAATCCCTCATCATGACAATCATTTATTACAGAAAATAACAGCCATTTTCCTACTGGCGTCGGTCGCTGCAGCTCGACCCTCAGAAGGCTGGGAGCCGGAAGGCCACTCGCACACAGAACACACGAAACCCTACCACGTAACTGTTGTTAAGAAGATAGGGGTACCAATTCCTCATCCAGTGGCAATATCAGTTCCCCAGTATGTGAAGATCCCGATACCGCAGCCCTATCCTGTTCACGTGACTGTTGAACAACCGATTCATGTACCGGTTTACAAGGTTAGTTAGCATACAAGAGGAGAGACACCATCAAAAGAAGTCATTATTCAATTATAGAATCTTGTGTATCAAATACTAGTCTGCCTAGAGCCTGGTAACACGCCAAAATATCAATAAATAGCATATCAAAGTCTTATCAAAATACATACATTTCTTCTATAAAAAATAGAACAAAATAAGAGCACGTCTGCTCGGATAAGAGTTAGGAGATCGACTGGCTTGAGGGAAATGTAAGGTTGTTGATGCATGGGAAGAAATTATGACGAGGATTTAGCACAATATATGTCAGCAATATAAGATGCATTGAGGAGTTGTAAGAGTACGTATTTACAAACCTACTGATGCTACGTTTTGTGATGGCAATGAAAATCTTTCTCATTATTTGAAAGTGAAACTTGTCCACAACACGACATCCGATTATATCACTCCATTGTTCATTTTTTGTCGGATCCAGCGCCATCGTTGGCATTGCGCACAATATCAAAATCGCAGAACTATTAACTTAAGTTTTCCATTTCAATTTGCACTATTATCACGATATAACCTCCCCAAGTCTCTTAAATTAAATTTTATTTATTTATTCAAGCAGACAATAATTCCATATGGTTATTATTGTGTTAGTTACAATTTTGTCCTAAATATTATATGACTATTAGCTGCATAGACTTGTGGAGTCCCTCGGCATCTTCTACCACATTTACCATGGAGAGTGTTCAGAGGAGTTGTTCGGTCTATCTGCAACTAAGTTTCGTCATCCGACGTCAAGGCAGAGTAGTATTTCTAAACCAATTCGATTTAGGGTCCTTCAAGAAAAGAACGTACCAATTCTTGAAAGGCCGCCAACGCACTTGCAAGCCTTCTGGCAATGTGAGTATCCATGTATCACTTAACATCAGGTGAGCCTCCTGCCCGTTTGCCTTCTATTACATAAAAAAAGCTTCCCTGCTATAATCGCCAGCATGCTGTTAGGGATTCCCCACACGCGTCTTACCAGAGATAGAAGAGAAGAGAACAGTCCACTCCTGCACAACCGACCATTGTAGCTAGCTTAGAGCTCAAAGTTGTCTCAGTTCTCATATTACCTAGTAATTAGTTGACTGCAATAGTTCTACCCTCAAATAGATCATAATTGTTTAATAATCTCGTGTCACTTTAAATAAAGCGTGAAAATATTTTCCAGGTTGTCCCTCAGATAGTGGAAAAGCCAGTTCCATACACCGTGGAGAAACCAGTCCCCTATGAAGTGGAGAAACCCTACCCCGTGGAAGTGGAGAAGAAGGTTGAGGTACCCATCCCCAAACCTTACCCAGTCCACGTACCTGTGTACAAACATATCTACCATCATAAGGGAGGAAAACATTAACTCTTCTGTGAGAAACCTGTTATCAGAGTCATCAATTAAAAGAAGATAATAATTATATATCTGTGAGGAAATAGCTTATATGTCCCGATTCAAATAATGGTCAGATTAGACTAGATGACTAAGTAACCGTTAAGTCTTAATGAACGACTCTGAATTTTGTTGGAACTTCTACTAAAACTTTCAATTTATCCAATACAGGAATTTTCAAAGCTTTTTTATTGTTTGAGGAAATGTAGTTATTACGGAGTCCAAAGCAGTATTAGGTTGGTCCAGACCGGTTAGTACCGGATAAACCGGTTTTTACCGGATTTGTAAATAAAGCGGTATCTCGCCTGTATACAAATGTGATATTTATTTTGTGTGTCGATCTGTTTGTTGTTGTTTTTATATTGTTGATTATTGTGTAATTAAGTTTTTATATTAAACGTTTGTTATAAACTAATATTTTTTATTTATTTAAAACATCCTGCTAGGATTTAAATGGATTTTATCATTATCTTCCATAAAACAACGTGAACTCCTTTGGTTTCCATAAAAAAAAACCTTGTGGCAGCCGTCAGAGCAGAACAATCCGAAACAATAATTATTACAATTCACCAATACAAACGCAAACTCCATTTTAAAATTCAATTATAGCGAATATAGACAAATGGCGAGAAGAGCTTAAAGTAGTTTGTGAAGGAGACTGGGAGAAAAACGCAAAAAAAAAACGACCCCTGGGTCGTAGGTTCAATCCACATGCACCAATGGACTTTCTTTCTATGTATGTATTCGCTCGAACGGTGAAGAAAAATATCGCGAGGAAACCGGCTTGCCGTAGACTCAATACGTTGACGGCGTGTGTCAGGCACTTGAGGCTGATCACCTACTTGCCTATTACATTGACAAATGATCATGAAACAGATAAATAATTCAGAGGCTCAGACCTAAAGAGGAAAGAAAAAGCGATACAAACATCCAGTTGCACTTCTCATACAATCTAAGAGTTCTGTAACAGACATACATAATTCTTTGGGTCTATGCAAGTTTCCTCACGATGTCCATGGGTCCCTGATGCCGTCCGTTTGTCTACCTACAATATGGCAAGGGGGCCTATTGCTGTCCATGCGTTGTACTCGTGAACGGGCGCTACTTGTGTTCACTGGTCGTACTTGATGTATAATTATGTAATGTTTTTTTAGGCCAGAACTAAAAAAGGTTGTAGTGCCACAGATTATTTTGAACTTTGTAAAGATGGGCGGTTCAAGGAATAAATGAAGCTTAATTAGTATTAAAGTCAAACAGAGTACAAGAAAAGTGGTCATGTCCGTGTTAGACCTAAAAGTACACCTATCTCCGCACTTTCTCTTGCGGTTAACGACTTCGTATCTTGTGACCTAGCTTACCTCGATGCGCTTGCGCAACTGCTCTTAATTTCATATCGTGTTGTTTTATTATTAGAGAACATGTAATATTTTAGATATTTAAAGTATTACATGTTCTCTCATGGTGCGATGTGTGTTATATACGTGACTTTGACTACTTTTTTTCTATTTGCGTAGAAGTACGCGAGCTATCATAAGCTATAAGCTAATCGCTTTAAACGGGCAAAAGGCTCACCTGACACTCAATGCCAGAGAGCTCGCGAGTGCTTTGCCGGCCTTTTAAAAATTGTTATGCTTTTTTCTTGATGGACCCAAAAAGAATTGGCTCGGAAATACGTCAGTGGGCAGCTGGTTCCACATAGTGGTGGTGCGCAAAAACTGCCTAAAAAAACGCTCAGTTGTGAAAAAGATACAGTTAGACATATAACAATTATTTTGTAGTTTCCGATTCAGTATAAAACAATTAATTATAAAAATTATAAATAAAGCTCCGTAATCTCGCTTATAAATAATCAAAAATTCGTGTTGAAGACTATCTTCTAATAAAAATACTGAGATAATTCGACCAACCACACAGTACGTATCAAACTTTTATTTTATTTAGCGGCAACACCGTATATTGTTATGGCAATACCACCTGTCAACCCCCCGCGGAGACGGGGACGCTTTGTGCCTCGGATTAATGTTCCACTTTACCAAAGTTCACGCGAGGTTATTTTTTTAATGATTATGAATCATGCAAAGGGTTATAGAATATCTAGACTTAATTAGCTTTGAGATATTGTATTTCCTTATTGTATGTACCTATATATTATATAAACCTTATGCACAAAATACACTTAACAATTATTACCTACTTATACAAGAAAAATATAATATAAAATAAATTGTAAGATGTGTTGATCATTATAATATCAATATAAAATAAGAACAACAAAGCCATTACTAAACTACTACATTATTTATTTTTAAGCATCAAATATATCTATTTGCTGGTAATCTGTGTTGTAACCTGAATGTATACGATACATGACAGAAATACGTAAATATACGTAGTTTGTATAAAATATGAAATAGTAAAAGCGACAATAAGTCAGGGCAGTCAATTAAACCGTTGCAAATTGCTTGTAAAAACATCAGGTGTACAAATTTTCAACTCCTGCGAAAACTTGCGAAAACATTCTACCTAATATAAATAACAGGAACAATTTAAGTTAATTCACTACCTAACTAATATGTAATGTAATTAAACTATACAATCAGTTTTCTGTGGCTGAAAACAACTATTGTTTCGTCCAGAACCGTGTTATGTTCTATTCCATGTAAGTGACGCGGTCTATGTTCTATGTAATGATCAAAGAAGCGACACTTCAAAGAGATTTAAACCAAAATTGAAGATTACATCATACAGAATACAAGATGAAACCCAAGATTAAATAACTTAAAACCACAAACAACTGTAAAATGAAGATACACAAGCAAACCACAGACAATCAACTAAACATATTTCAGATGAAATAAACATATTAAATTAGGAAAGCGTGAAATCTGGATAATTTCGCGCGCAAAAACAAACATGGCAGCCGCTAAATGTATTGAAATATCAAAATACAAGTTATTTTTGTTATTACATTATAATGCCCTACATTATTTGATTATTATTACAGAATTAAGTATGACCTACAATTCACGAAGTCTTCTGAATATAAACTGACGGCTTTGTATTTATAGAAACGTATGTATATTATGTAATAAGGGTATGCTTTAGATTTAGAAGCCATACTGTAACTTTGAAAAGATATTGAACGAAATATACATGAATATTACGCCCAAAGGCTATTAGGATATTTCATACAAATATTTTACAAGCCGCGGAAATCAGATTTTGAAATAGTAAACTCTTTGGACAATTTTGAAATTAGAATTAAAAATGAAAGTCGAATTTGTCACCGGCATAAAAAAAAACATTGCATGTCAATCGCGATTGAAATTCGCGGCTAATTACAAAGTGGGCGTCGTAATTTGTGCACGAGTCGAACCCGTGACAGATGGGGGCACGACCGTACCAAATTAGATCGATACTTATTGACCATTGGATACATTTTATAATTATGGGCAGGCTAATAAGTAATATAAAACTACTAAAATGATATTTAACATAAGAAAGTGTCCAACCTTCCATTTATTTGACATGTAAGTACACACTTACATGTCAAATGAATGTGTACTATTTTCTTCACTTACTACTGTTTAGCACTTTACTAACGTGCACTGACACTTAAATTAAATAAAAAAAATTGTCCTTAATTGTTGTTGTTGCTTTTTTTAAATTTGTCCATTTCAGTGTTCTCACTAGGCTCGCGGTGTCAAGGAGTTGAAGCCTCGACATTCACTTGTTATGAAATAAAGAATATAAACCTTTTACACCAGATAGTCCAGCTCATCAAGAGGCTGAAATCCTGGAGTGAATAGAATGTATAATTTTCTCTGAACAGGAGATGGCATTTTGGCTTAGAGAGTTGATATATCAACGATAACGCAGGGCCGTATTATAAGCCATTATTGCTGACACCCAGTATCTAATAAGTACCTATATAAAATTCTCGTGTAATTTTCGTTCCCATACTCCTCCAAAACGGCTCGACCGATTCTTATGAATTTTTTTTATGCATAGTAAGAATCGGCTACTATCTATATTTAAATGATAAGGAGGTGTCCACCCTAAAAAAAAATATTTTGTAGACAATTTTTTTTATGATACAACATACAAAAATACATAGGTAAAACCCTTAATTTTCCTGTACCCTCTACGATCAACCTTATTTTTTATTTGTTAGTCAAGAACTTATAACTTGAATTCTGAGGTTTATATAGAGAAAATCACAGAAAAACCTAAAAAGTTTTCATTCCGGAAACCCGAAAAGTCTCTGGGGTAGCATAGCAAAATGTTCCATGTTGGTATGTACTAAACAGGTAGGCTAAGTAAAATCATATTAAGGAGAAACGAAGTTCAAGGGAGCAGCCAGTAATATATATAAACATATTTTGTTTTAGTCAATAACCTTACTTAATCTCATCAGATGTGCCGGTTTTAGTGATCAGCGTATTATGACACATAGGAATCTTCCAGCTGCTTCCGATCTTTTCTAATGTTTGCTCTTCTTGCCGAAGTAGTGCCTACTATTCTCTTTATCGTCTGCCCATTTTTAGCTCTTTTCCTTTTCCCATCTCGTGGTTGCCATTTTGTAATAATATTTGTCCATTTCAACCTGCTATCTCTCGTCATGTGCCTGGTCCAGCGCCATTTTAATTGCCTTATATTCTTTATAAAGTCCTCCACTTTGGTCGTTAATCTTATCTCTTCTGTTCTTTTGCGATGCCTCAGTGTCGCACCCACCATGCTTCTTTTTATTCCTCTTTGGCATTTTCTTAGCATTCTCAACTTAAGACTGGCAGCCGTATGTGACACATGGTAAGATACATAAGTTGAACACGTTTTTCGTTAACTACGATTGGAAAGCAGGACCGTATTACATAGCATTGTAACATAGTATACTATGATAATATACTGTTGATACTGATCTGTTCACCTCAAGTGTGGTGTTTGCAAGGAGAGCTTTGACATCTGAGTTCCTT